AAAGGGATCAATATAATTCTTTAAGAGTCCATGTGTATAGCTAAAGTCTACTTAACAAGAAACAATGCCAGACAGGAGATATCTTCCTTTGAGTTATTGGCCAGAGTGGCCCAAGAGACTCCCAGACAGTAACCCAGCATAGAACTGGGAAAATGAACAGTAGACCCCAATCTTATCTAAAGGAATAATGGCAACTGATTGTTGCTAGATGAGGAAGAGCTGATCTTCCTAAAACAAGGAACTCTAGATACGCTGACTAGATTCAGCAGATGGACCAGCAACAGGAAACGGCTGGGGATACTGACAGCACAGTGGACAGTAACAGGGATGACAGAGTATATGGGCTCCAGTGGTTGGGGGGAGCTATGGGAGGGTGCCATCTGGGATGTGGGTATATAAAGGAATAAGATTGTTTGGGATGCTCTGTATGAAATACACACAAAAAATAATCAGCAAATTTAAAAAGTGAGTTATATTTGAAGAAGAAGCATAAAAATTTGCTTCATGTTAAATTAGTAGAGGTGAAAAACAGTACCATTAAAATCTACCTGGATACTTTATATCCACACTTAGGTTCCAAGGAGCCAAATGTAACCAACTATGACTAGTAATAATCAAATACATAGAGATTAGAGACGTATGTGCAAACATCTAAGTGTTAGTAGCATTAAAAATGAGTTTTTCTGTATGAAACAGTATATTTAAAATGAAATGGAGATCTTTTTTAAAGGTTAAAAACTCATTCAATTTTATGTTTTACAGGGCTTATACTGGGTTCAATATTGTATAACTGTATTAATTCAATTGTGAACCTAAAAATTTACAGCCAATTTTGAAAGAGATGCATCTTTGCTCTGGGAATTGTTATTGAATATGTTAATGCTGTAATGAAATGCTTCTTCTAATCATGCAGTTATTAAATAAATAATTTTTTTTAAAAAAGATGTAATCACTTCTGTAAAGGCCCTGCCTCCTAGGACTGCCACATGCGGGATTCAGCATCCTCCTGTACTAAGTTTGGGGTAGCACAATCAGTCTATTTACATAGCAAAAGCTCATTATGGTGTTTGTTTCATAGACATCAATGGCTCTTAACTGAGAACAGGTTGTTTATTTTTAGGTACAGCTCATCTTTGGAGGTAAAGTTGATTTTGAATATTTGTAAAAGTAAGCTTAAAACCCACATGGCGGAAGAAAAGCACAGAAAACTGACTCCCACAATGTCATTGCTTTGGGGACAATTTGCCTGATGACAACAGTATATAGACTTTCACTTTAGCTTAAATTCAAAGACCATGCATGTTAATTACCCATATGGAACACTGATTCCTAAT